AGTAATAAGATTCTCAACTCAGTGAAATGGGGGTCAACTCAAAAATAATGTACTCGACTCAAAGAATCACAGTTCATGACTCAAGATACTTAAGATTAAAGCAACAATAAAAGATGCAATATATAGAAAACTTTTAAAACAGTAGATAGCAACTCAATGTATTGAATAATACAATAATAACTCAATTTGTATATAATAAAATATAATATAACTCTGTGGGAGTTTCTCTAATCGACAACCATCACTATGAGCTATGTGATGATACAGCGTCTCGCCCACGCTCCCAGAACCGTCATACACATTGCCGGGGTATAGAAACTCTCAACTAAGTGGATCCACTAGTCTATGCTAAAAAAATTAAGGAATCATCTAAAAAGTATGACTTTTTCTACCCACGTTGGCTACATGGTTATGGGGGCTGTGAGTTGTATGAACTCTCCCCCATATCGATGCTCAATACTCCTCCCAAAATATACTCAACTCATATGTTTAAAAACATAACTCTTTCTCTGGTTTGAGATTATTACTCAAAATCTTTCTCTAAAAAGAGATGTTACTCAAACTACTCAAAACTCTTTTGGAAATCTCAGTTTCCTCCTCTTTTAAATGTGAAAATATTTACTCTTGGGAATAGTTAGTTCTCATATATCATTTTAAAGAAAATGAACTCGACTCTACTCTTTCTCAACTCAAGTACTCAAGTCTTAAAACAAGTTTAGAAATTTTTTGTAAAAGACTTCTCAGAATAAAGTTCATGCTGAATTATGGACGTGAATGACTCAATTCAAGGTTTTCAATAACCATACATAGAACTCAATACTCGAGACTCAACAGCTCAGAACTCAAAAACTTCAATGGTAATACTCGGTTCAAGAATACTCAACTCGGAGGGTTCATGAGGAATTATGGGCATGAACAACTCAATTCATGGACTCCATGGGTAATATGTAATAGTCACATGATTAGGAATAAAATATCAAAAGAATTTGGAACTCAATGCTCAAAGACTTAGAACTCGAAGATGCTACTCCTCTCGAAGACACTCAATGTATGGAGTTCATGTGGAATTTATGAGCATGAACGACTCGACTCAAGGGTCTAAAGAACATTATGGAACTCATGCATACGACTCTTCTCATTCTCATATTTACTTCCTCGAAACTTAGTTCAAATCGATAATTGATCTCAAAGAATTCACAATTGAACTCAAAGACTTTCTTGAACTCTACTCTTAACTCTCTCTCTTGAATGTGAATTATGAATTCAAGAGTTATGGTTCATGATACGAAGGATCTCGTGATGATAAAGTAGACTCATGAATACATTCTCCCCATTCTCATACTCACTTGCTCGAGTCACTGAGACAAGTTATTAGAAATTGTAGAAGACTCATCAAAAGACTCAAAGGGACTTTCTCAAAATGTTCAAAAGAACTCTCAAGACTTAACTCTTAGCTCTACCTTGGATTTGAATTATTAATTCAAGGTTATGATTTTTTATAGGAAAGATACCGTGATGATTAAAAGTGTTTTAGATAGTTAATCATGAGAAACGATTGAAAAACACTATTTAGGAGCAAGTCTGCAATGCAGAGATGAATTATAATGTTTGGTCGAATTTTTTTTTGAAACAGTGGGGTCTGTGTTCTCTCCACGGTGCAGAGAGAAAAAAATTCACTTCTGAGGAACAGGTCCACGATGCGGACCTGGTACCTGTTTCATGTCCGACTTTTTCTTCCTCATTTTCCAACCCCAATTCGCCTAAATTCGATTCTTTTTCTCAATTTCTCTTTAGATTCAGATACCCACTACATGTACAGAAGAATCTAATTAAACACAACTCTAAAATCGACAAGATTTCCTCAAGAACTCATCAATCTCATCTAAACTCAAGAACGAAAGCCAATTTCAAGAACACAATTCAAGAACACCAAACTTTCAACTTTCTTAAACGAATTTCGCTGAAATTAACATGATTGGTGTATGGGTGAACAAACCCAACACTATGGAAGCTTACATACCTATTAGGGATCAAACCCATGGTGAAAATCCTCAACAAAACTCAAGAACCTCGACGAATGCCTTGATCCTTTCCTCTTTTCTCCTTTTTTCTCTTCTCTTCTCTTCTTGAACTCTCAACTAAAACCCTAGGCGTATATTAAGATTCTAAAACTGAACCTAATCAGATTATACCCCTAAAACATTACTAAAAATGAATTAAATCTGATTGGGTAAGGAAAAGACCAAAATACTCCTTACTATTTTCGGGTAACTTTCTCTATCTGGACAACCTAACTTCAAAAGAGCATATCTCACATATTCGAACTCGAAACTTAGTAAACTTGGTGGCGTTGAAAAGATAATTCAAAGACCTTTAATTTGATATCTTATGAGCCACCTAACTCATCTTGTGCTAAAAGTTATGGTCGTTTGAAGTTGACCGAAAACTTAAAGAAACTTAGAAATAACTTGAATGAACTCTCTTTAGTTCTGTTTGGAACTCAAGGTGCTACATCTAGTGACCTTAACACTCAAGAAATTTTAAATTTCTCGATAAAATCCTACTCACAACGAAGGATGGTTCGAGTCCTAGCTAAAAAAAAATTATGGAGTGTTACAATATATTAATGCAAATTGTTTCTATGCCTTGACATGAAAACTTGTATAAAACTCTAAGTTCAAGAAATCATCATATTTGTAACTAGATCTACTAATAATCATATATACGCTTAACTGAAAATGTATATAAAATCTTTAAGTGAGAGTTTTTTTACAACCGACATACAACATGTGAGCTCATGATGCACCAACTTACAATTTCAGTTGGGGAGGACTATCCAATACCTTATCAGGGTATATATATAGAACCTACCTGTCTAATATGGATCCACTAATCTGAGCCTCTCAAGGCTAAATGATCAATCGACATTGCGGTAAAACATAATCCTACAGTGATACATAATTTTGAAACATGAGCTATTAAGAACCCTCTTTCACTCGGTGCTAAATAATTCTCTCAAAATAATCTATATATGCTTATAATATGTTATGAAAATTATAACGGAAATCATATTGTGAATCTTTGTTGAAATTTGTAAATTGTACTGTTGGTAAGACTAAGCTCACAACTATCTAAAACATACTGAGATATGATCATTGATGACAAATTGGGAAGTCATACTGCATAAACATTGATAACATATTTAGATGTCATACTGCTTAAGCATAGATGACATATCTGATTGTCATACTAGTCATGAATCATATACGTAATATACTAGTTATAAAAATTGATATGTGTGACTACTAGCTCTGAATATATTAAAGCTAGTCTTTTCTATATAATTATATTTGGTCTGAGATTAGAAGGTCAACTTTCTGAAAATTTGTCTATGTTTTTCTTTTTGAAATTATGCACTTGAGGCAAAATATAATTTCTTAAACTCTTTCATGAAATAATGCACTAGAAATCAAAGATAAAAATATTTTTCTTGAAATACTTCTTGAAAATCATAAAATTTACTTTTCTCATGAAAATAACACGTATGAAATATCATGACAAAACTTTCAAATAATTTTGGCTAGAAAGGGTCCACGTGGTATAATATACATAAACCATGAATCAAAGATCATTAATTATATGAAGTACCATAATTTTGATGATAAAATTAAAAATCAATGATAGGAGATAGAGGAATTCAAATTCATAGATTTTGAGATAAAAACCCTAGTTTTAATCTTACTAACTGAAACTGTAGATGTAGGGTGTGAGAAAGAACTAATTTCTCACTATGATAGCCTTACATACCGTAAACGCTCCACAAATCTTTAAGAAGAACCCTAACTTGATGAAGAACTATTAGCAAGAAATTCTTTTTTGAGATTCTTGAATTAGTTTCTTGCCCTATGGTCAAGTGCTAAAATTTCTATCAATGATTCATGAATAGATGAAGAAATTTGAGTTGAGAAAGTTGAAGTCCACAGAGAATGACTTACTTTGATGAACGAGGATGAGAGGATGAGAGAAAATCACTTTTAGGACTTGAAAGAATGACCAAAAGCGAGAAAAATTATACTAAAATCGACTTAAATGATTTCTCATCGCCCAACTACGTTTGACCAGTGAAACGTCTATCCAAAATTGTTCAACGCCAGTGAACACATGTTCAAACAAAAACCTCTTAATGTTTTCTCAACCGACGCTTCGCCAGTTCAGAATTGTTCAATGCCTATGAAATGCATGTCTAAGACATAATGTCTGACAAAACTAAAATGATCAAGATTTTTTACTCGGAATTCGATTTGACGATAGGTTGGCGACGCTAGAAAGACGACTCAAAACCTTAAATTTGGTTGGTAACGAGACACATAACTCTTCATATTTTATGAGATATGCTTATTTGAAGTTGACCCAAATAAAATATTACATCGGAACTCAATCAGTAAGGAACTTTTCAACTCAACTTTGTGTTAGAGGAATCTTATGAACATAATTCATCTCCAAAACACTTTCCACATTTAGGAATTGATCTTAACACTTATATGCACAATTAGAAATCACTCGGTACAGTCTTAAACACATACGCAGAAAAGTTCATATGTTAGTTTAGAAATTTTTGAGGTTTTACAATTTTGGATTTCGCATCAGATGTTCATATCCACATTGAGGTCCGATTAAATCTAAATTTACGTCAAAAAATTCAACATTAAAAGATAAAACTCTCCTTAATAAAAGTGATCATATTTAAAGGCAATTCAAAACTTACCACTTCATCAGAACTCTCTTGTCAGCCATTGAACCCATAATTGATACTCCTATGTTGCATTACTCTCTCATTAATGTCACAAAAAAAAAACAATGTATGTACTATATTATAATTTACTCATAACTAGCATGTGTTGTATAAAGAGAGTACAAAGAGAAAAAACATAGCAGTCATTGTACAGTGTGCTTTACAGGTGGTACATTATTCCCTATCCATCTTTATAGAAGTGAGGAGAGAGAGAGAGAAAAAAGTGAAAAAAAACTCAATTTGCAACTCTGTCTTCATCTTCTCTCTCTCATGCCATTTTCACACACAAAGGAGAAAAAAGAAGAAGAAGAGAGAACAACTTTGATGAACTGCATAAGGCATTCAATAAAGCAAACAAACTAATGTCGGTTCTTTAATCTCTTTATTATTCTTCCTTTCTTCACCTCCTTATCTTCCATTTTCACTCTGTTTTCATTTTCTCAATCTCAAAAAATGGTGAGCTAACCTAACAATTTTTCAATCTCAAATTCCGTTTTAATTTCGTTGCAAATTTTTGATTTCTGACGGAAATCTGCATTCTGGAGTCTCCCGGTTTTTATGGCAAAATCAAGGAATTTATGATAGGTTATGGTGAAATTTGGTTTTTATAAGCAAATGTGGCGTTAATTGCTTCCTGATTGTTGTTGCGATCCGTTTGATTGCTGAGGAAATGCTTGAAATTATTTGAACAATAAATTAAAGGAATTTCGATTTAGTTGAAATTTGGTTTTGCTACTCTTTTTTTCCAAGTATAATGTGCTAATATATGGTGGTAATTTCTGTTGAATTGTGTTGAGATCTGTTGGGGTACTCTTTTGTTCTGAACAAAAAGGAAAACAAAGGGAATTTCTGCATTCTGCCGGTTTTTATGGAAAAATCAACGAATTGATGATAGGTTATGGTGAAGTTTGGTTTTTAGAAGCAAATGTGGCGTTAATTGCCTTCTAATTGTTGTTGTGATCCGTTTTATTGAAACAAAAAATTGAAAGGAAACGAATAAACCTGAAAGTATAAAATTTCTTGTGCATTTGTTCAGGAATTACTGTTTGATTTAGTTAAAGTTTCTTGCTACAGAGTGGTTAGATTTTATCTCTGAGTTTCTCAAGTAAAATGTGCGAAATCTGGTGTTTAATTTCGTCCACATTGTTGCAATCTATTAATGCTGGAGAGTAAGAGGACAAAGCATAATTTATTTATTTTATTCTGTGTGTGTTTTGAAATATCAAGTTATTATTGCTTGATTTGTTTGAAGTTGATATGGAGCAGCTTGGTTTTATATCTGATTTTCTTAAGTATAATGTGCCTATATGTTGTTACTTTTAACTCGATTGTTGTTGCAAATTTTGGTTTCTGAGGGAGTGCTGGAAAATATAGTACTGTTTTTGAAGAGATGTAAGGGAAGTTACTTGAGTTAGTTCTAATTTTCTGTTTAAAAGAATTAGTTACAATTTCTTGATAATGAAAGTGTTTTTTTCTTTGCTTTTCCCTTTTGTTAATCTTTGTGCATCAGCAAGGATATAACATATGTATTTTTGTCTTCTAATTTTCCTTTTTGGCTTGGTTTATAGATGATAAAGAAACTGATTGTTTTGTTTTAATAGGATTGCCAAATCTGAAGAGGATCCACATTTATTATCTTGGAATCAAAGTTTCATAAGTTGATTGTTCATCTCTGTGCTCTCCAGAAGAATTAGTGGTAAATATGATTTTCGTTGTCTTGTAGTCATCATAGCTACTTTAGCTTTAAGAGTTGACACAGCGAATTTGCAGTGTGCTGCAGAATAGTAATTCACCATGAACTGGAATCAGCAAACGGAAATTTATTACACAAATGGTGCTGTGCCTTATAATTCAATTGGAAGTTTTATGGATTTCTTTGGAGGTGTTACATATGACCATGTTAATTATATATTTGCCGATCCTCCCTATGCTCAGGTATTCAGTAGTTTAGCAGAAGTTGATCATTTTTTTTTCTATATTCATGTTGTGCCTTCCACTACTTCCATTTTGATCCCATATTCCATCTTCTGTCCTGTTATGCAGGATTGTGCAAACTAACTTGTACAAATGAGGGTGCAATTGGAACAATGATTAGTTTTACACTTGTAGAATTAACTTTGCAACCCTGTACATTTTGAAAATCATGATAGGATAAGCAGATATTACTAACAGTGCTCATGAATATGAAAAAAAGTCCATGAGAAAGTGGAAGTTTGTTTATCAAGTATGTGCTGTTCTATACGTACATACATTTACTCTAGTAGCGTGCATACTGCATAGAGGAAACTTAGAACCATGCCTTAGTACACATATACAACATGTATCAACTGCATAATTAGCAACTATGCTGCATTTAAAGGACACTAGCTTTCAAATTGCTCTAGCAAACTAAGAAACTCTGCTACAATCTGCTAAGCATATGAAAACCTTAGAGATACCTTTGGATATCACTTAACTGTAACATGTACATTTTCTTGATACATCTTTGGTTTCGTCTATATCAAACTGTCAGTAACATGGAAAGTAGAGCATGTTCTTAAATAACACTGCCATATGACTTCTCTGATTCTTGCAGGAGAGTTTATATCCATCCATCAGCACCAATCCATACAAATTTGGTTATTCTGAAGCAGGTAGTTTCTCGTATTACGATTATGATCATGAATATGTGGTGAATGATCATGTATCTGGAATCGAGGAGCATGATAGACATTTAGAAAACCCTTCAACTGCCACTGTAAATGTAGCTGCAAATGTGCATAGAGAGGAAATTTCAGGCTCCAATTCACTCACTAATTCTGTGGAATGTAAGTTCCCTTTTCAGTATCTTCCTACTGTGGTTGATAAGTACAAGTTTTAAAAAAGAAAACCGACAAAGCTAGAATGTTGAAAGCCTGTGTATATGGAAACTTCTTCTACAGTTCCTTTCTTTATATTTTTTGCCTTGTGTATATATTGTATGATAAACTATTGCAAGGAAAATGCATCAGGAATAATTTATTGATCATCTACCATGAGTTGCCTGCATTAGTTAGCACCTTTTTAGTTCATTCCTACTGTAAAGATGTCTCCCTGTGCTCACATTTTATTTACTATTATCTGTCAATTATTTAGCAAACACGATATTAGATATTCACACTGCCATCTGTATACCAGCCTCAGTCGCTTAACACCGTAATTCTAGATCATAACATCCCCTCTTCATCGCTCCCAAAGTTCTGAGCATTGAGGACAGATATCTACTGTTCTTTTGCATCTCAAGGTTATAGGTGAAATCAAAACACTCACCTTCCAATGGTTATCTTGATGTCTTGAAAGCCATTGAGCTATAAGGACGAGTGTTCCGCAGTGCCCACTCAAAGTGCATTAGTCAACCAACAAAATTTGACTTGGATGGGTTAGGAGAAGGCCATCCAACAAAATGAACAAATCCTTGTCTGATAACTCCTTGAATGATTCATGCTCATCATATGAAATTGGTCCTGTGGTCTGCAGCAGTTGACTCAAATGATTCTCAGAAGGCACTGAGACGTTTTTCTGCTGTTTATTTAAAAAGGACCTCTGCTACAGCATTTCTGAAGACTATCTCTTTTGGTACCAATTCTGTATGGATGCTAAAATAGCTGGTCACAATGCCAAGATTCTAGATTGGACAGATCTTTTATTAAATTGAAGATATGCCTGTAAACACAGGTTATTAGTGTGTGGAGAGTGATAAAATGCATAAAATAGTAGTACATCATACTTTCCTAAGTCAAAGTGGTGCTAAGGTTGCTTTATTACACTTTCTAATTTCACTTCCCCTCTTCTTTATGTAGTCTCCAAACATTACTGGTTGCTGCTTCAATGCCAAATATTATTCCAAAAAACTCAATGGCTTTTTCTTCTTTACAATAACTGGTTATGCGTTTCTTTATGTTTTCCAGATACCAATTTCTGAAAGTTAATAGTGACAGTTTTCTTTTGTAAGGCAGCCGTCTAGAAGCATGTATCCAGCACATTCTTCTATTATGCATTATGTGCTGCAACTATATTGAATTATTGATTATGCATCTAAAATTTGTGATGGGATAGAGTATTAGAGTTAAGAAGGATACACGTCGATCTGAACACAGCAAAAAGTGTTTGGAATATGTTTGTGTTGGACCTTATGCCTTTGAGTATTTGCAGTCTCATTTGTCTCCGTTTTCTGCTACTGTTGCTTGGCCTATTCATAAAAAGCCTCCTAATTTTATTATACATTAAGTTATGGATAAGCATGACCCTTTGCTCTTTTTCAGGTCCCAGGGGTCAAATTAATACTCGTGACAGTGAGGTATGAAGTTTTATACCAAGTTATATTTATTTTCTCTTTCATGTCATGGCCTTTAGTCTGGCTGATGTGTAACCACCATAACCTCTATTTTTCTTATTCAAAGTATTTGCATACTACAACAAGAATAAAGCTGTTTTTTGTGTTTGTGTTTGTAAGTAATGATTTAAAGCAGACAAACAATAAAACAGCTTAATAGTTTTAAAACTACTCTTTTGATGAATAAGAAACAATTGTAATAGTAGTTTACCATTCCCAAAAGAAAAAGGTAAAAATATAATAGTAACTAGAGGAGTCTTGCATTTTCTCTTCCTGCTAATGTTTTCAAAAATTGCTACTGGCTGCTGAGTAAGAAGGGATCATACTTGTTTCTTTTACAGAGGGTGAAGAAGCTTTTATTGTCCTCTTATGATTAGAACTACTCACTACTAATTTTATTCATCTATGTCGTAAATTAATGCAGGTTGTTTGGCACGATAGTATCGACCCTGACAACATGACCTATGAGGTTTGATTTGTAAAATTGATGTCACCTCCACTTATTTGACTTGTATTATCATTACCTTGTGCATCATCAGATAGTATCATTATCTCGTAATCCACTTTGAGACACCAAGAATCTCATATCGGAATTATTTTGGTTACTAAGACAGAATTAGTTTTCAAAGCTATGCATGTTGACATGAAAGAGCCCTGTAAGGTACAGTATATTTTTTGTGGGATCTCTATCACCTCTATCCTTAGAGTGAGATAGGTCTAGATGGAGTGAAATGGATAGGAAGGGTTCATATAACTAATCTCCACTAGCTTGGGATCGAGGCTTAATTGTTGTTGTAGACGTATGTGACATGCATTACTGACGAGAATGATGGCTTAGTGTCGAATGAAAGATGGCACTGATACTTCGATACAATTTCTCGGTTCAATTGTGATAGTTTCCGCACTGTTTTCTCTAGGTTGAATTAAACATCCTTATTCATGGGAGGGAATGTCATAGGTCCCTTTTGCAAGCCTTGTCCTGAATGGAATTAAGATTCCAGTAAGAATGTCATTTTCAATACACGTGCATAGAGAAATATTTGGCTCAAATAGGTGGGAGATCCTAGGTAGTAGGAACCTCATGGAATTAGTCAAGGTGCGCACAAGCTGGCCACCACATCAAGAGTATAATAAAAAGAATATTTGATTCAAGATGGAGTAGGCAATTAATTGATTCAGAGGATTTTTGAGTTTATTCTTCTATTCTACTTTATCTTTTGAGGCTAAAGAGTATTTTGATTCTCCTTATGAAAATTTTCATATTCGATCGTTCTTGTCATTGAACCATTTCCGTATACAATACAGTCATGACTACTATTTAAGCGAATTGATTTACTTTCTTGACAAATCATACTAGAAATAGTGTAGCTGATGAGTGGTGTAATTAACAGACATGCGTTACATACTCTTCAGTGTTCACATTCTTATCTGCAGAAATTCATTGAAGACAACAATGATTTTTTCTTTTATTGATTGTTTCCACTATCCTTGTTTTAGTGATCATAAGTAATGTTTTAGTTTGCTTTATTATGGATTATTTGGAGATTTATATTGTAGACTTTTGTTTTATTTTGGATTGCTTGAAGATTTATATTGGAGACTTAGTAAAACTTGCCGCTTTAATTCCCTTAGATAAAATGTGGATTGAATTGCAGGAATTACTTGAGTTGGGGGAGGCTGTTGGAACTCAAAGCAGAGGCCTTTCCCAAGATCAAATCTCCTCGCTTCCAGTCACAAAGTTTAAGTGTGGCTTTTTCTCAAGAAAGAAATCAAGAAAGGAAAGGTAGAACAAACCATTGAGTATCTCTTCCTATAAATAAGGGCAACTAATGAAAAAATTTATGTTTAATTTCCCTCTAGCTGTAAGCCTGTAACGTATTATGATTTTCTTCATTTGCTTCTCATTCTGTGTTGATTGTTATGTTTTCTTCAAGAATAATAGGCTGGTGGGTTGCTTTCCACATGTGACCAGGTCATACAAATCATTGTTACTTTAGTTGATAATTTTTTGTTAATTTGAGAAACTGGTGGACTTTTTATGTTTCTCATCAACAATCTTCTTCACCTAAATAGTGTATAAGTATCTACTGTTTACCTTTTTAAAAATTCAAGTATAGATATGTTACCACACTATTCTATATTACCTATTTCCTTGGGTGGGTATCGTGTCCTTTTATATTTCACCTGCACATATTTTTTTCTAGACCTCCTTTGAGAGATGTCATCTGGTGCATATTGTGGAGTTTAATATATGTATGTGGCTATGTGTGTTTTATTTGTTTTTCTCCCCACAGGTTATTGATGAGATTCTTTTTTATTTTTGTCATTATTATCTATTATAGTACTAATTTCCCAAAAAAAATTGTTAGTCTATCATGATTATCTTGGTGTAGTACTTTGGGCAAGGTTTTGTATCAAAGCGTTTACACTGAACACAGTGGATTTACCTTCTTATTTCCAGGTGTGTGATCTGCCAGATGGAATACAAACGAAAGGATCGGCAGGTCACGCTTCCTTGCAAACATGTCTATCATTCTGGTTGTGGAAGCAGATGGCTAAGTATCAACAAAGTAATCAACTGAACTCTCTCAAAACTATTTCCCTCAATCGATCATTGTATATATACCAGATTATTGAGTCATTTACTTATGTGTCAGGCTTGCCCAATTTGCTACTCAGAAGTGGTGATCAATACATCAAAGCGGTGAAGCAAATAATAAGCACCGATGGGGACTGAAATCATATTTTTCTTCTTGGTCAAAGCATTTTCCCTTTCTATTTTCGTTATAGAATCTTATATTTCCTGTTCCTTGTGTTACATTAGAGAAATAGTTTAGTGGTAAATAAGAACATAAAGAAACACCACATTCGTTAACGATGGAGCTTTGTACCACGTGTTCTGTTTTACATATTTAGCCTTGATCTCAAAACTTTGTCACAGAAAGGATTTCTAGTTTTACTTTTTACTGTCCTGATCCTATTGCATGGGGGAAAATACAAATAGGTTCTTGTAAGATGTGTTCTGAAAATGATATCTAGTTGTTTATAATCTTGCATTTCATACATCTGTTTAGCTTTTTCAAGGGATTGTGTGTGTAAATGTATTGGAGCATTGGACAAAATCATCTTGTAGGAATTGTATCCCTTTTCACTTGTTTACTCCTCAACTCATGTCATCCATTAATGGTAAGTCGTTCAACGTCTAGCACTCGCCCGTTTTAGTTACTATTTAGGAAAGATGGTGTCCTTTTATACATTTTTATGGGAAAGGGGCTCTTTTGGCTTCAAATTCATATTTATAAAATAATAATCACAATAACATTACAATACAGAGAATGAGAATGTAATAAATACAAATACATATTTATTGCTGGGACGATGAGACATGATGAACTAGAAGATTTCCCGAGGCAACTTTCTCACGAACGAAATAATAGTCTATTGCGACATGCTTTGTTCGAGAATGCAACCAGAGGCAAAGTCAAAATTTTAGTTTTATAGATTCTGAATTTTATAGACATGATTTCAAATGTTAATAACTGAGTTCTAAACTTAATATTTGTACATAGTTAATAAACTTCTTAATACAAATACATTATTTGAACAAAAATTATTGAGTTCCGTCGAACCCATATAAGGGCTTCTAGCTTCGCCCCCTAAGGCAACACTGGATTTTGAGCAAAATATAATGCACCCATATATCCCAAAGATGGGCCATTTAAATTTCAAGTTTTTGCACATATTGCCCCTATTCCAGGTGGTCTTTAATTTAACCATTTGACACTTAAAGTAACGAAAAGGGCCAAAAATGCCCTTGTCAATGAAAAATAAATCGCAAGGTATAAGTTTAGTGACACAAGTTATGCTCCAGGAAATAAGTTTAATGATATAAATTATACTCCAGGGCATAAGAACACCGACACAAGTTATGCTCCAGGGCATAAAAACAATGACGCAAGTTATGTCCCAAGACACAAGTTATGCCTTAGGACAAAAGAAATTATGTCCAAGGCATAAGTTATGCCATATGACATAAGTTCAGTGGCACAAATTATGCCCCAAAGCAAAGTTCTCTAAAAGTTTTACCTTGTGAATAAGACACTACAGAATTTATGCCCCACAGCAAACATTATCCAATGAAATTAGGTCATAGTTAAGAATATTTTGGCCCTCGAATTTTCATTTAATGAACAGTAGGAAAAATAATAATTAAAGACCACAAATCTGAGAGGCAAAAATTAAGAATCACCCCAAAATAGGGGCAATTGTGCGAATGACCCTAAATTTTCTGACAGCCACACCATGTCATTTTCCCTAACTTCTAGGTGAGTCAATATCCGCTCATTTATTAACTCAGCTCGTTTTAACCCATCCAAATTCAGCTCAATTCACTCATTTGCCACATCTAATTGTGATTATGCTTAGGTGGGATCTTAATTAGTAGTTTTCATCTTTTGGATGTCAACTAACCAATACAAGTTGGTTTTAGAATAATTGTGTGCGCACCAGTGACGGAGCCAAAAATTTTATTAAGAGAATTCAACTTTATAAATATAGATTATGCCAAGCTTCTGTTTCAAGTAAAGGAATTCAACTCTTATATTTATCACATATTTCTTTATGTTTTACTTATAATATATGTGTATAATAAGTAAAACAAATTAAGCAAGAGGGATAATATAAAACCTCCCTTGCTTGAATGTGGCTCCACCACTTGTGTTTGCGCAGGCTAGTTAAGCTTGAGCACTATAGCCATATATAGTCTCTTCGATTGTCAAAAAAATGTGTCTCAACCACTTGTGTTTTCACTCATGAAACATTTTAGCTCAATTCATCATCCTTCACCCAGAGCCAGCAAACTGCTCTCCTGTCTGAAAGAAACTCAAAACAATTAGTATCTTTCAATTAATTCGTATCTCTAACTCAACATGATATATACATCCATTCGTACTTAATTGCCAACATCATTGTCGTTACAACTACTTCCATGACATTTGGTTAGTTTAACTCCTACAATAAACATATTGTACTTGTCAAATAGAGAAGATAATGACTAGGTTCTCAACTATTAAGATCATTTCTTAGACACCTCGATGTTTTGACATATGAAGTGGTCCTAAATCCTAAAGAACTTTCAAATTATCTCCTAAGCAATAATTGCATTTAACAGGATACCACCAAATAATATGATCCTATAATGAGCCAAGCAGCAATGCAGAAGTGAAATGATCAAATGTAATTCACAATACCTCAGTAGAACAGAGGAGTGGGTTAAGTCGTTCCCGTGGCCTTAAGATTGCAACTCAACTCCTGCCCTCCTAATCATTGGAACATCTTTAGCAGGACCAAGTCCTTTTGTTGTCTACGTAGGTTTGGTGACTGACGAACCAGATTTTCTTACATTGCACTGTAAACATCAGAATCACATAACAGGTCATATCTGATATATGGAAAATATTCAACTATTTCCATGTGTCTTGTTAACTGAATCAAACATTCATAAATCTGATCGGACTGAAAATGCGTCTTGTCTCTAACAATAAACTCAAAAATATTTCCATTTACTTCAACGGAGCTGCAACCAGGTGTCTTTTGTAATCCCCTTTCACCCATCATCTTCCTCACATCTCGTGCCTTATGTTGCATAGTTGCTTCAACATACATGTTAGCAAGTAAGACATAAGTTCCACTATCACCAGGATCCAATTCAAGAAGTTTCAGAGCTGCCTTTTCCCCCATCTCAATGTTCCTATGAACTCGACAAGCAAAAAACAATGCTCCCCATACTGAAGCATCAGCCTCATTTGGCACGCCACGGACTAGCTCATAAGCTTCTTGCAGGAGCCCTGCCCTGCCCAAAAGGTCTACCATGCAAGAGTAATGTTTAGATTTAGGGGGAATTTTGAACTTTTTGCTCATTTGAGCAAAAAACTTTCGCCCTTCTTCAACCAAACCTCCATGACAACAAGCTGACAAGACCCCAAGAAATGTGACATCATCTGGTCTCAGGCCACTGTCAACCATCTTCAAAAAATATGATAGAGCATCATGTCCATTTCCATGATGCGCGAAGGCACCAATTGCAGCTGTCCAAGTCAATGAGTTTCTGATGGGCATCTCATGAAAAACCTGAAGCGTTTTTTCGATGTTACCACATTTGGCATACATATCAACAAGTGCAGTTCCCAGAGAAACAGTTAAACAAAGCTTATGTTTTTTGATGTAGTGGTGGAGCCAAATCCCAATATCAAGTGCTCCAAGTTGTGCACAAGCTGATAGACTACTAACCATTGTCACTTCATCGGGTTTTATATTCATCGTTTGCATTTCCTGAAACAAAACCAGTGCCTCTTTACTGCGCTTAGCTTGGACATAACCTCCAATCAAGGCATTCCACTGTACAATATCTTTCTCCGGCATCTCATTGAAAAGCCTCCTTGCTTCATCCAAACAACCAAATTTAGCAAACCCGCTAATCATTATAGTCCAACTTACCACAGTCCTCTCATCCATCCTATCAAACAAAGCCTTTGCTTCATTTAGACTCCCATTCTTCATATACATGTCCATGAGTGCATTGCAAAGTGGTATGCTAAAATATAAACACTTGTCCCTAAAGTATCTATGTAACTTCCTCCCAAGCTCCAAATCCTCAAGCTGAGCGCATGCCCCTACCATCCCAATGATAGTAACTTCATCAGGCTCCACAGACTCCATTTTCATCTTCTCAAATACCATCAACGCTTCCCTCGATCTCCCACTCCTAACATAACCATTAATCATTGAATTCCAAGAAACTAGGTCCCTCACAGAACTATCATCAAACACCTTATATGCATCCTCCAAGAATCCACAAGAAACCAAAAAATGAATCACTGCGTTATGCACAAACACATCTCCATCATAACCAATCCTCAAAACATGTACAAGAATCTCTTGACCCATATAATACAAGCCCAATCTAGAACATATCCTAAACAACAAAGGAAAAGTATGATTATCAGGCTTCAAACAACTAAATTCATTCTCTACTGTCATAAGCATCTGTTTATACAAAAAGAATGCATCAATTGGGGTTTCACTTTCACAGCAACCTCTTATAGCCATATTCCAAGAAAATGTATTTGGGTTTTCCATATTATACAATATTTTTTTACAATAATCAAGATTACCCTTTTCTGAGAGTGCACAAAAGGCTATTAAACGACTTGAAGCAAACCCATTTGAGAATATGCCTGTGAGAATCATTTGTGAGTGGATTTGTTTGAGTTGGTTCATGTATTTGCATTTGGTTTCTAAAAGAGAAAGTAGTGGATTGGTTTGTACAAAAATATGATTTGTCCTCCATTTGAATTGGGATTTGGTTTTGTAATGGGGTAATTTAGAAGAAATGGTTTTGGAGAAAAGTTTTAGTGTACAATGGTGAAGTGATGAAGAGCTGAAGGATTGAGAAATGATATGCATCATTCTCTTGGAAAGAAAACAACTTTAGCCAACGTCTACAAGTTTGCATCATTCACAACCTTCCTTCTAAAGGTTCGATCACTTCTTTGAATAACTAAAAAATCACTATTCCTATCCAAGTATGCATCATTCACAATTTCTAATCATATTTTTTTCTACATCCACCAGTTAAATCACCAAAAATTCCTTTTCTCTATTAATGTCAATGAATCACTACTAAAATATTTTAATATGTTTTAATATTTGTATATAAATTTAAATAACATACTTCACCTAATTTCACAAAAGACATTTAACAATCACTTTTTACCCTTTGAAACTATCAATTTTTAACCTCACAAGTTGTAAATTATCCCGAAAATGGAAATAAAAACAAATAGCACAATTTCTTCGAAATTTGGGGAGAAAGAGAGTGAAAAATAAATGGTGGGTGGGAAAAACATGGAGGGTAGAAAGAGAAAAATAAAATGGGGAGGGGTGGGAAAAAGAAGAAAGAAGTGAA